AAAGGATATTACAATGTTTGTCATTGTTAATTATTGTAAAGGTGATAATTAATCATATCTATGTATGCTTCTTGGTTCTTTTTTTAAAGATCTGTATTGTATTTGGTCTCATATTCAACTTTCTGCAATTTCAGATGTTAGGCAACAGCTCAGAGTAGACTCATTATGTCTGCTTAAAGATATTATTTGAGACTAAGATCCAAGTTTTTGTGTGAGAAAAATAAAACATGTTTGCCTTCCCTGTGTTACATCAGTATGATGATCATATTCTTAGAGTATGTTTCACAAAAATTCTAATCATCCTCCTTTGTGAGTTGGATGATTCCTTGTTCCAAGTGTTAACTCATTTCTTGTGTCTGGAAAATAAATACTAGTATTAATCAAATGCAGCTGATGTGAAAACCCTTTGTTTTGAAGTTTAATATGACCTTGATCGGCTTAATCCTGCGGCAGGTGAGTCATTTCAGAAGTAAAATTTCTCAAAAAGACCTTGCTGGTCCTGTTAGAGAGATATCCTAGCGTAAGTCTGTATATCTTTGGGTGGGGTTGCCTCACCAGGAGAGCAGAGATGGCACTGTCCCAAAAACACAGGAAGCTGCAGGGTGGATTTGGAGGGGTAGTTTGCTACAGTTGGAAAAGGATCGTGAGAACAAGTGCATGCAAGTGTGCATGTTTGTCATTGTACCCATGCATGTTTTTTTTGTTTTTTTAATTTTACACTTGGTAGTGTGAATATTCCAAAAAGAGTTTATTTAAAGCAGCATTTTGTGCAAGCGCATGTATACAAGCACAGTGTGTTTGTGTTTGGCATGTGAGAGGGAGAGAGTGTGTTTGGGACAATTGGGGTGGAGAGGAAATGGTGACACCCTGAGAGAGAAAGGGAGAAAAGGGTTTAGGTTGTGGCCCTCTGAAAGACTGAGAGACATAGAAACAAAGAGAGCGGGAGAACCTGGGAACTGGAGAGGAGAGACTGGCTCAGGTTGCGTCCAACAAAGAGTTTGTCAGAGAGCAAAGGAGAGCGAGGGAGAAGGACTAAGACAATGGGCAGAGTAAAACATTGAGGAGAGAAGGAAGGAAGGATTCGAGAAGAAGCCGATAAACAAGAAGCAGGAAATATTTGAACAGAGGAACCCGTCAAGAGCGAAAGCTGGAGTAATCTGAGAGATGAGATGTACGAAAGCTGGGCACAAAATCTGATGGTGTCACATTTCTGTTGAGCAGGTATCCTGATTTTTGTGGCGAGACTCCTTGTTTGTGTGTGTTTCTGTGCAGGATAGAAAGTATCTGGTCATTTCAGTTTGTTTGGCTGACAGAGACCTTGGAAATGTTTGTGGGACAGGGTTCATGTGGGATAATTTAAGAGAATGTTGACATTTTCTCTCTTTAGCTGTTAGTGTGCAAAGATGTTTCTACCAGGAGTTCAGTCTATTTAATCGAAAAGAAAATATAAAATTGGGGTTGGGGGGGGGAGATTACTATGCCAATGAAAATAAATGAAGTAGACATACTCAGAAGGGCTAGAACTGTGTCAACAGAATCACTTTTAACACTTTACTATTGATTTATATATTCATTCCCTTTATTTTTAGATGAACTTTGATTTGATGAAATAATGAGCCAGGCAACATGTTGATTTAAATGTTTAAGTCAATAAGTGATCTGTCTCCTCTGTGTGACTCGCATGTTTCGAGTAGTTCAGTGCATATTCATGTTAAATGATATGGTCCTTCTTGCAGAGTTTGCATTTAGAATAGAATAATAGAATAATAAAATTCTGTAATTATAATAGAAAGTGTATATTAGTTGAGGTCTGATGTAGCTTTTTTAGCTGTCTCCTAGTATTTATCCCAATGAAATTGTGCTTTCGCTCTACAGGACAACCTCAGTGTGTTTTTGCGTGGCTGTGAGGAGTTAGGACTGAAGGGCTCCCAGCTCTTTGACCCTGGAGACCTGCAGGACACATCAACACGCCCCACGGCCAAGTAAGACTCGACCACTTGAGTTATGTTCCACAGATAATATCTACCATTTGAACAAGTTGAGTCCTGCAGAGTTGACTATGTAGATTTGACCATATATACTGTATGTGGAAAAGTCTAATGTGATGCTTTCCAGATGGTAAAACATAGATACATGGATGACAAAAAGGAGCCTAAAAGTTAGTTGATGAATTTTAATCAGTTTGCTTAGTTTGTGAATGTCTTAGAATTGACTGTTTTTTGCGCTCTGTTTGTTGACACTGTTACTGTGGCACTAACTAAAGGTGACAGTTTTAAAATAAAACTTACTAATGTGAGCTTTAAATTATTTATAGCTTTGACATTTATTTACACAAGACTCTCTCTACATCTCTCTACAAAACAGTGAGGGTGCTGTTCTTTCATAGTAAAGTGAAGCTTTGGTGAATGAAATTTTCTTAAATGTTTCTCTGCTTCAGAAGGTAAATATCTCCACATTTACCTTTGGAGATATTTTTCTCTGTTGTTATAGGACAGTTGTTTAAACTTTTTTTTTTTTAATTATTCTTATCACATTTAAATTGAGGTTTAAATTTTCAAACAAGACAAAAAAAAAACTATTTCCTAAAATTCTTTGTTGGAAATGCTCTATATCACTAGATGGTGATGGTGAACACTTTTAGCCTGCTTGTCTCAAACACTGGTTGTGCATTTCTTTGTCTCACTTTGTCAGTAACCCGTCTGTCATCAGACAATCAAGCAGTTCACTGAAACACAAATAAGTAGACGGGAGTCAATGGAAGTTTGCATGAGCCTGTGCCAGTGAAGCAACAATGGCATATCTGTGAGACACAATTGGTCTCTGTCCAAATAAAACACAAGGGTGTGCATCACACACTGAACCATGACTCCTACTTTGTTGCTTGGTAACAAAGCCAACTGCATCTAGCTTTTCATACTGTATATGTGTTTGTGTGAATATGTGGGTGTTTCGGTGTCTTTGGCATGCACTGTCTGCTGGCTGTGTATTACCAAGGTTTCATTCACAGAAGGGTTTTAAAGGTGCTTTTGGAGATGGGGCAATGCAT